AGTATCTGCGATGGTGTACACAGCCTTGTGCCCATTGCTTGCTGAGATAGGCTCCAGCTGCCCTGCGGCGTCATTTAGGATAAGGTGCTTAGACAATGGATGAATCGAAATGGACAAAAACATGTGTAACTGGGAAACAGCTTTACTGTCAGGACGATGGGGTCATCCGTCTGCTTGCTGGGATTCTTGGCCCGGTGCTTGAAGATGGGAGACATTCAGAGTTTGTGAGCTCCTCCCTGGAACCAGGCCCAGACAGCTGCTGTGGAGCTCCAGCCATTACAATTACAGTACTTTGAGAACACAAAGCCAGCAGAATCCAGCAGGTTACAGGCAATGGAATGCTCAGGTAACTCTGGCTGTCAGCCTTTGTCAAAGCTTTTAGTTTTCTCTCTTGTTCTCTCCCTACCTTAATCACAAACCTAAAGATGTTATCGTTTTTAACATCTTTTTTCTTTTTTTGTTCTTCTTCATCACCGTGTCTTCTAAGTGCTTCATTAAGGGATGGATTAAGACACAGTGCTGGTGAAAAATCAGGGCGCACGCTTCGGAGGCGGTTACCATGGCAACCAGGTAAATTGGAATAGACCGGGAGGAAGAAAAAAAAATCTTTTTTTTTTTTTTGAAAGGGAAGCGTCAGATTTATTACAGGAAATTAGAATGCAGGAGTGTAACGGGCTGCTCGGAAAAACCACTCCAGCGAACGTTTGACTGAAGAGGATGTTCTTTTTTTTTGCTGAAACTGAAGCTGAAGAAAGGAACAATTGGATAAACATATTTATTAAACTGACTTGTCTACATTTACGAACACCAGACACGTTCCAAAAAAAAGGAAGCGATTCAGCCCCATCTTGCTTCTTTGGCTACCAGTGACTAATTGGTCCTGGAATCCAGGAATCAACTTCAAAAATGTGGTTCGTTAGATTGCTTGAGACCTCCTTGAGCACTAAACCAGAGACAAGAATAAGCACAAAGGGTAAAAGGCATATATAGCCTCTTCAAACGGGGTTGTGCAACTTAAAATGTGCATTTTACAAAAAGGAAGGGCCTTTTAATAACTATCATATTTCATATGAGTATTTCACGATCTCCAACTTAGGAGCACAGAAAAACTTGCAGAGCTTCCAGTCAGCCCAAGTGATACTGTAGCTCACTGGGGGAGTCCTGAAAGTAATACACCTAGCAGGAATAAATACCAGGACCATGACTGGGAACTCCTCCTGCAGAACATCACCACTGACCAGACTCATGCACCACACCCAAGTCTGCCTTCTGACAAGAGCTGCGGTCATTCCAGAACTCATTCACGGACTCCAATTCAAGTGCTTTACATCTCTTTAAATTGGGAGACAGCTGTGGTCTTGGGAATTTCTTGACCTATCTGGGATCAATCGCTACATTTTTGCGTTTCCATTTATTCATCATTACTTTTGGCACCCTCTGTCACCGGTTCCTGTGCTGAGCTATAAAATTACACTTGCTCAGGATCAGGAAACCCAATCCATGAACACAATAAAGAAAAATGCTGTTCGTCTTTCATTAATAATTTACTGCAATTGATTCTTGGACGTTAAGGTATACAGATTTTTTTTTTTATTGTGTTCTGTGCAAACATCAGAAAGCCACTTATTGCTCAGGATGTTTTCATTGATGATATGCAAGTCCAGTGTTCCTATGCCAAGTCCGAGAATCCAGACTCAACCCATTGCATACATTAGGGTTATAGTAATACATTATTTATAATAATTTCTATACAGGGATATACTGTATTACAGCCTGTTGGAGCACCAACATAAATCACATGGTCTTTGATGTAAACGTGAATCAATGTTGAAGCTCTTGCCAAGGAAAAGCACATTATTGTGAACCAACTGCTGTATATAGATGAGTACATTTAAGGTTCTGTTCATGTTTGAAAAGAAAGATAGAGTTGAGCTCAAAAGTAATGTTTAATTTTGCAGAGGCACACAAAACACCAATATGGGCTAAAATGAATTAAGGTTTTAATGGTTCATCTATAAATAACCTTAGCGTTTCACAGCCAGCTCAATGGCTACTTGTGGCTGGAGTCTGGAATCCAGAGAAACGGAATTGAAGTTCTGGAACTGGCCAGCGCAGTATTCAACAGCACCAGATGCCTCGCTGAAGTGGGTGTTTGGGAAGAGGCGGTGACTGCGGCCCGAGTTGAGAAGAGGAGTCTGATTTTCAGAGAGAGAGGTTTCTGTGGCGCATTTCGCGAGCGGTCCGTGCGTAATCACGTCGGGTACTGAACGGGTATAAGAGCAGCCAGTTGGGAGAGAACTCTCGGGAAGAGGGCAGCACAAGTCAAATAAGGAGAAATAGGCCATAAATGCGTTTTGGGAAAAAAAAATGTTTCTTTGGCGGTAATACAAAAGAAGGAGACAGAGCGCAGGGAAAACTCAAGAAGAGTTCTCCCCTCTTCCCCCGAGGCCCACAGGGAAGGCAACATGCCGCGGCAGAAAAGCTCTGGAGGAACGTATTATCTTACAGCACGTTGCGTGCGCTCAGGATTTATTTATAATAGGCGGCCTCGTTGGCTCAGCCGGTTCCCAGGCTGTTGCGGGCGGAGGACGTAGCTCGAGCAGCAAGTACGCTCCCGCCGCGCGTCCGTCACCGTCTGCCTGCGGGAGCGTGCGCCTGGCCGGGGGCGTCTGGGAGTTGACTCGGGACCAACAATTTTAATGAGTAGGTGCTACATGGCAGAGAGAGAGAGTCCTAGGTCGCGGAGGATTTAAATGTCGGTGGGAGCACCGTCATTTAACTCCGCCACGACAGGATCCGATGGCCCGAGGGTTGGTGTCTGTAAGAGGACACGGTTTTTGCGCAGAAAAGGCTCCTGGCCTCGGCAAGACAGCTCATTCTGACACACTTTACGCAGTGTAGGTTTCCGAAAAGATCCGCCGGCTCATTTGAAAAAGGAGCGCTTTGTTTTACGCTGACTCCCTCACAGGGCGGTCTTCCCACGTGGAATTTAACCCACGTTTCTCGGGGAAAAGTCTGTAAGCGAAGTGCCCCGGTCATAAACTGACTTAAACTTTTAAAAACCTTATTCCGAGAACAGAAACTGCGTTCTGCCAGTATGACGCTGCAGTTTCTTCTGTTCTGTTGGTGTATTCTGTTTTGAAAAATAAGAAGTGTGCGTTATCTCTCTCTCTATAGTCTTCACCACGAATTGTGCGGTCAGTCACACTGTGCGACCCGCTGGATCTGAAATCCATTGCGTTTTTCACGTCTCCTTCCATTAGCTTCTCCTTCACCGCTCTTCATCCGGGGAGAAGCGTCAGTTTGATCCCATGAAGGTTTAAGCGGACCAATTTATCCCCTCTCCAAAGCCTTAAGCCGCTGTCGGTTTAAAGAGACGTGAAAAAGCTGCCGGATCCCGCAGTCTGAGGAGCAGAGTGGGGGAGCCTTATCTACACCGCAGACCGAAGATGTCCCGTATACTCGGGTTACACTTAGATCTCACACCAGGGGCGCCTGGGCTCCAGCGCTTGTCAACAGGCGGTCTGCTGGTGGCGCTCCAGCTGAGCTCTTAATGAAATCCTTAATCCTTAATTGAATCGTTTTTGTTACTATGTCATACAACCCATAGAGATTCCGTGTAAGAATGCAACAGCAAGTAGCGCACAGCAACACAACTTTCTTTTTATATATATAAAACAAAGTAACCGAAAACGATGCCAAAACGTTTAATGAAACAAACGCCTAGTGTGTTTTGACAGAGGCACAGGAGGGCCGGCGCGTCTGCAGACGGTCCCAAGTCTCGTTAAAACAGCACCCTGTGTAGAGCTGGGAGGAACCGCTAGGGACACCGGGCAACTGAAGCCTCTAACCAGCTGGTTTAAAGAGTTGAGTCGGAATGAACCCCCCCCTCCCCCGACACACCGTCCCTCCAGAAGCAGGACTAGACACCTGTGCTTAATTGAACTAATAATCTGTTAACCCAGAGGTCTCACACTCGACTCTTGGGGGGCTCGGTGGGTTGTGGGGTTTGTATCTACGGTGATCTCATTCACTCGGCGGGTCTGTGCATCAGAAATTGTGATATTTCTAACCAGGCGCTGGGGTGTTTTTATGGTGCCTGAAACGAAGTGAATGTTCTGCGCCGTCAGCTGCAACAGAAAACCAGCTTCAGAGAAGACGCATGCTGCAGACGTGTCTAATTAAGACAATAAGCAGGTGAATTGTTCAATTGACGGCGCAGGTTGGAACGGGAACGAGGCAGCACGAGGCCGTGCAGGGAACGAGAGCGAGACCCCTAGCTTCCCAAGCCAGTAAGAGCTGGTGTTCCAGATTGGGAAGCACTCTTAAGGTTCAAGACCGTTTTTCATCACCCGTCGGTCAAACGCTTCCCTGATAGTTTTTTTTTAAAATCTTACCTAGCTTGTTGCCGTACCTCCCCGTAGTACCCCAAGCAGTATACCTGGGGGTACTGTGAGTGGGGGACCAGTCCGGCCCCCAGATTGCTTGACTACCTGTCGCAGCGGTCTGAAATCGCTTAGCTTTGCTCTTTTCCAAAACAGAGATGATCTTATTTACAGTATAACAGGCGTGCGGAGCCGGGGCTCCGAGAACTTCCACTAAGTAACTCAAGGGCGATATGTATATATACATAAATTTTTTAGATGAGGTAGCCATGATTTCTTGAGGGGCTCAAGAAAAAAAAGTTCTGGTAAACGTGATATTTGATGTCATTCTTTTTTAAAGAGGCGTAGCGTAAAACACCGGTTTGCAAGCATGTTTTCTCAAATGTACAGGTTTTGTGTTCCTTTTATACCGAGGTATACTGTATATCAACACACAGGATAGGGTGAATTATGTATAGCCTCCTCATAAATTTAAGTTATCTGGAATTAAATACGTGCAACGTTCCCAGGTTTGTCGCGCCCACTGTTAATAAGTCAAACAGCGCCCACAACCTTAGCGCCGTGACTACATACATACATCACTTCGGCAGCTCAGTCTTCTAACAGAGGCGCAGCCCCGTCAGGTCTGTGGAAATCCCGACTCTGTGCGCGTTCGCGCTGTGGTTTCGGAAGCGCGGCCCCGGCGCCGATCTGAAGCCGTTCAGTTGTGTCACAGTGCTGTTGGGAGAAATGTTGGGAACAGACGACCACGGAGATATTCGGAGGCGAAACGGGACAGGTAGGCTAGGAACCCCAAAATATTCGCCTTCTACGCGTTATTGGAAATCAGTTCAGCCCGTGTTTTCGGCGTGTTTGCGCGTTTAAGAGCCTTTTTTTCTTAACTGAATATATGGTCCTTAATTGTTGAATTAAGCCGCTAAATTGCGCATATTTCACTGGGGGGAAAGCAAATGGAAGTAAAGAGCAGGCGAGACCTATGTGTCTGCTGGGAAACGGTGGTTCCTCTAAAACTTATAGGATTTAGGAATGTCATTTTGTCAATAAAAATGGACATTTAATAAGGGCGAGACATGAGCGTGGTCCCGTGAAATGAGTCGGCACCGTCAGGTGTAGCTCGGGAAGTTATTATGACAGGCGTCGGGCTCTGCAAACAGTTCGCACAGCTTCTTTTCCAGGGCGACAAAATCCGACTTGTGTCGGTTCACCCTGTGTGTCACGTCCTCCGCTTTTATAAAACTTTGACTTCAGTCAAGTTCAACTCAGCTCTGCTTTGGAAATACACGTAAACTCGGGCTGCAGACCGAAATCAAGTTGTTAATGCCACGGGATGCTTGACATATATTAACGCATAATTGCATGAGGATTGTGTTACAGCGGTGTCCCCTATACCTATTTATATGTCCCATTTTTCTCATTCGTGTTTTATTTTTGAAAGCTATTGACAGCTCATCTAATCCCCGCACTTAGCGCGACGCAGTCGTGTGATGTAGCGCTGTGCATGATCAAGTCTGATGGGGAGATGCGCGACTCAAAAGCGAAGCCTACCACGTCCAGTGCAAGTCCGTCTTTATTTCAGTGAGTATAGGTTCGCAATGGGGAGCAGCGACACTGCTTCTCTTTCGGCGTAGAAGGGAGGAATTTCTAAAATGCATTTCTGAATGGTTAGGTTACGGACTGCTGGGGTTGCGCAGTACTGTAGCTTGGGACGAGACGGTCCTGTGAACCCGCCGGGTTTGTGTTTGTCTCTGAACAGCCTGCTACCGTAATCGTTTGACAGAAAAAGAAAATGTCTTGTGTGTAAATACTGTAGGTACTGTGTATTAGACGGGCCGAGTGGGGAGCCGAGTCGATGTGCTGACTGCGGGAGGACAATGAGAGGTTTATTCCACAGTGGAAAGTAAAAAGAAAAGGCAAAGTGGTTGTGAAACCTCTGCATGTGTTAACATCTGTTAACAGTGTGAACACCCATGGCCCAGCGGCGGCTGGATACGGTAATGAGAGGCTGCAGTTTTGTAGAAAGCCTTTCGTCCTCGGTTTGCAAAGACGTGTAACACGTGAGTTTTGAGCACTTTGCCGAGTTTGGTTCATCCAAGTCAGGAATGGCCAGCTGTGCCCCCCGAGAGATACAGGCTGGGGGGGGGGTTCACTTCCTCTGTCTTCTCAATGACAAATCGCCCTGCTTCGGTGGTCAGCGCGCAGAAGTTCCGAGTGCTGGGACAGAGACAGAGCACCTGCAGGAGTATCAACTGGTTATATATATTAATAGTCGGTGCCTGCTGAGTCCGTGATTTCGCTACAGTGTTGTTGCTTGCACTTATTTACAATTTGCTAACTTTGTGGTGAGAAGACTGGATACACACGGTATCCTGCATCACACATTGTTGCCACACGAATGTTGGTATTTTTAAAAAAGCTTTGATCACAGGGCTTCAGGCAGGGCTCTTTAATACTGGTGCTGAAGAGCCATCTGTGTCTTAGTTTTTTTTTTTTAATTTAACAATTTAATTGTGATCAGTTAATCCAGAGATCTAAATCTGGATCTTTTTCTGCTCTCGAGGACCCAAGCTGCTTTAGACAAATCACTTCCTTAATGGATCAATAACGTACAAGCGTTTCAGGCCCAGCGACCCCTGATCTAACACCACTCTGTGGTGGATGAGTGGTTTTGTTACTGATACCATTCTAGGTCATTTAGCAAGAAAAACAACTTGCTGCTTTCCATCACGGTGGTGTCTGATGCCCTTGAGGGTTTTGAAGATTTTTGCATGTGAACACTGGGACTCTCATCTTCTCTTGTGCTGTGCTTTCTGACTCACGCTGTGCTTTGCCACCTTCCAATCACCCTAGTCTGAGCAGAAACCAATCTGTGCCCGCTGTCGCCTTGTTGTGGAAACGAAGCAGGCATCTCCAGGCACACGAGGAAGAGCTTCACTTTGAAGCTGGGAGAAATGTTTTTTTTTTCCACTGTCGTTGTTCTGTATTGTACTCCAGAAGATGAAAAACTGACAGAGGATATAAAAGACTTTTCTGGTGTCTGGAGTTCCTTTAGATAGCATGAAACCAACATAATGATTTCTGTTGTTCCTTGCACTCTTAGTTTTGATTTATGGGTATTTACAAGTAAGCGTGCTAGAAAAACTCTGTCATTTTCTCCATCTCATTTTAAGTGTGAGGGATTTGTCTTCAGGTGAGGCTGTGGTGAAATCAGTGCACTCATGTGCAGACATGTTTGATTAAGATAATGCTGTAGCTGGGCAGAGAGGACGATGATGATTAGTCAAATTCAAATCTACGTTATAGCCTAAAGACTTAAGCCAGAATTCATCAGCTGTCATTTTTCTGTCCTCCAGACTAATACATTCTGAAAATAATTTTCTCAGGAACGTTGTTTAGGCTTTGGTCAGAATTCTGCAAAAACTCTAGAAATAACAAAGAATAGGCAGGTTTCTAGTCAGAAGTTAGAAAAGCATCCTGCTCTCTTGGTGACAGTCAGTATCCAGTCTTCAGAGGGCTATGAAATTAAAACTGTTTTGTGGGGTTAAAAAGGTAAACAGTGCATTTTAGGACAGGGTCCAAAAAGTTGAGTCTGATATCCTGAAAAACATTTGCAACATGAGCTGTGTTGTTCTGTCTTTGTAGAGGCTAGCTCTCTTACAGTGAGTTGAGTTTCAGTGCAGTGATCCTGTCCCATAATTCCACGTCAAACAGAGATTAAGCTTGTGAACACTACAGCTGTGGAGGAGGCGACACCAGTGAGCTTACTGTGGCCCAGGAGGCGTTGAGACAGCCTTATCACCAGGTCTGGTATGTTTGTGAATTTTGGTGAGTGATGTTTGGGGTGCTCTCAATGCAAAAATGTGTTCAATGTGATGCCAAAGTAAATTATAAAGAACATTCTTTCGCTCAGATGGGGTCAAAAACACCTTGGCAGGCTGTGGATTGTTGCTTTCCTGTCATGTAATAATGTAAATAAATGTAATGTAAATAAATTCTAATATTTTGGGCTTTACAAGATGATACTACTTGTATATAGCTGACTTCTTGTGTACAGGGTTTTTCAGGCAATGCACTGCTTGAAGGCCTTTTTGAGGGAATTGAAATTGTAGGCCTGAAACCTGGGCATACAATTCCAGTGTCATCTGTGACCAGTAAAGGTCTGAAATAAGTGCAGTGTCAGAATATAATCGCAATAGAGCCTGAAGCCCACTCTGACTCGGCTACAGTCATGCTGTAGCTGTGACAACAACAAGACGACAAAGTGGCACTGTCTTACATACTGTAAGCTGCGCTATTATTTGGCAGACTCCTAATTATGTGTCTGCCAAGCTTAAGAAAAAAGAGCAGCAATCAAAACAAAACAAATCTCGAGCACTAGGCGGGTTGACCCGTAATAGGCTGTTTCAAGAGGTTAAATGGTCTTTCTTTCCCAACAAAAACAGTGCCTCTGTCTCGGAATCAGGCCCTGTAAATTAGGCTTCTGTGGAGTGAGCTGGAGTCTATTACTGTCTGACAGGAGCGATTTGACTGTTTCATATGTAGGGCCAAATCTGCCAGCATTGCTTTGCATAAAGCCGGCTAAACAGCTCTTTCAGTCGAAGAACATGGGTTGGGAGAAAGTGCAGTTATTACGAAGGTAGGCTTTACAAAAAAAATAATGAATATTTCATTGGGTTTCCATTTTCAGCAAGTACACTGGGCCTTGGCGTTATTTTAGCATTGAGAAGAGCCTGATTTCTTATTCCCTCCTCCTCCCTTTTCAACTACCATGCTGCTACTTTGTCTTTCGTTCGACTGGTTCTCTGCCGCTACCTGATGCGTATATCCAGCCTCTTGTAACTGCACGCCCAGAGTAAGAGGAGACCAAGAGGACCATGGGAGTTCAGGGGCCGAGGAGACACCTTGCCTGACGAGGGCAGGAGGAAGTGAGCATAAAACTACTAATTAGGCTAATGTGCCAGATGAATCCTCAGAAAACCACAGAGGGGATTTTGCTGGAGTGATGGGAGCCGAAGAAAATTAATTCCGGCTCGGTAAGAAATTTACAGTGCGTGGCAGGAGAGCGCTCATCACGCTGTTAAAAAGTTAACATCGTTTTAAATTGCCTTTGCCTAAGTCGCTGCTCTGACTTTTAAGCACAGCATTCATCAAACGTGGGAGAATGAACTGGCCGAAGCCCATAGATCTTGGCTTTTACAATTGTAAAGAACGCGGAGAGGGATGGCTGAGCTTTGATTTAAACACCCAAGTTATGTGCTCGAGGGAACGTGTGGCCTCGCCAGCAAAGCCAGCTGCTGCATTGATATTCACCTTCATCAGCGACTGAACACTGCGAGCACAGAAACAGCTGGAAGGGAGGTGAACCTGCTGCAGTGAACGTTGAGCGGTCCATACTGTTAATCCAAGACAATCCTAATAATTCTGTATGAGTTTTGGAAAAAAATAAATTGGTTCTTTATTTCAAGCCTGCGCAGGCTTAAAGTCAATATGATTTGGCCAGTAGATGGGTCTCGGCTCAGGCAGTCTCGGTCTGGAATGGATGGGCGTATGTTCAGTGATATTGATGTGGCTTAATGAGGCGAATGAATGTTCCTTTGATTTTGTTTCCCGTCTGTGTCTATAACAACAGAGTGGTCAGGTCTCTTCCTAGACAGCCGTAATCCTGCAGGTTTAAAGGCTTAAATAATCAATTGCTGAGTCAATTAATTTATTAACGCAGTGCTTCCCACTCCTGGACCTGGGGCGTCACTGTAACCTCTGGTTACTGGATACTTCTTTTCC